TTGGCCTGCTATCCAATTTTAAATTAAGTCCCGCATTGCTGATAAAAATTTTTCTGGCAATAATTTTTATGTATTCACTACATCATCTCATCATCGTCATCGTCTTCATCATCGTCGTCTTTATCGTCATCTTCATCGTCATCATCATCATCTTCATCATCGTCGTCGTCGTCATCATCTTCATCGTCGTCATCATCTTCATCGTCGTCATCATCTTCATCATCTTCATCATCGTAATCACAGTTGTTCAAGTCTTCCTCATCATTATTACCATCATTATCATAATAACAACAACAACGACAACAACAATAATAATAATTAAAAAAAAAATAATAATAGTATTAATGATGATGATGATGACGGTGTATTGTAAGATGAATGGTCCGACGACAATAATGATAAGTGCCATTATCTGAAGGAATAAAAAATTTTCCAGATATAACTTCCACATATATTATTGCTATTATTAATTATTATTATTATTGTTGTTGTTGTTTGTTGGTTTTGTTGTTGATGTAGTTGTTGTAGTATGAGTAATTGTTGTTGATGTGGTTGTAGTAGTTGTTGCTGTTGTTGTTGTTATTGTTGTTGTTGTAGTATGATTAGTTGTTGTTGTACACTTGAGTGTAATATTTAAACCACATGATTATTTTGGTTTTTTGTTGTTTTTATCTTGCGAAAAAAAAATCCGATTTTAATTGAACGAGTTGGTAAGAGAATGGTTTTAATATTCCAGACAAAATATTTTATTAAAACAATTTTATACACATTCGAGTTGCATTGTAAATTAATGATTGTTAATGATGACAATAAAAAGAATAAAAATAATATTCACATTGTTATTATTATTATTATTTGTTATTATTATTAAAAGTTACCATCATCAATAAGAGGCAAAAAACACTAAACAAAAACTGGCATATAAGAAAATTTTTAAACCATTTATAGTAAGCAAAATAAGATTATTACCGTTACTATTACTGTTCTTACTGTTGTTTTTATTATTACTATTATTGTTGTTCCGATTAGATTTATTTTTATTCTTATTGTTCAGTTTCAAGTTTCGTTTGGATTGTGCGAACTGCTGTGCGGATAAAAATTTTGAAGACGACGACGACGATGAAATCGATGAGGACGACGACGATGACGATGATGAGGAAGAAGATGACGATGACGTTGAAGATGACGTAGACTGTGAAGACTCATTCCTTTTGTGATCTGTCAATTAAGGGGTATATAACAATCGATCTTCATCGCTATCAACAATTTTTCTTGACCACCCTACCGCCTGAGCTGCTGCTGCTGCTACAGCGAGTGGCTAATATTACTACTACTTTTACTACTACTACTACAACGACTACTACTACTATTCCTACTACTACGACTACTTCTACTACTACTACTATCAAACCGCTATTTTTACTATACTACAAAATAATTTTTCAGAAATTAAAAATAATTTCACCGAAAAAATTCATCTAAAATTTCCAAAATCTGACGGAGAGTTCCCGGCATTAGTAACAGTAAAACTTTAAAAACGAAAATAATGATGATGACGACGACGACGACGACGATGATGATGATGATGATGATGATGATGATGATGATGATGATGATGATGATGATGATGACGATGATGATGATGAAAGTGATGACAGCGGCCATGATGGTTATGATTCGCGGCGGTAAAACAATAAAAAGGGTGATGGCGAAGAGTGGTGATGATAATAATTTACGGGGAAGCGATCAAAAAGAATCATTAGTGGAAGCATCAATGGAGGCAATCAAAATGTCGAACACACAGCCACGCGCACCAATGAGATTGACAGATACAAACACACAGACATGCAAAAGAAATCGTATTCACTTATGTACTTACAGACAGACAGACAGACAGACAAATAAAGAGACAGTCAGACAGGCAGACAGATTGATAGACAAACAAACCGACAAGCAAACAAACAGACAGACAGAAAGAAAGTCAGACAAGCAAGCACACATAAACCAGCAAAAACACATACTCACACATAAAAACACACATATAGACAAGTAGTTTCACAAATATAATAATCCATAAACATTCACAAAAATACATAGACAGATCTACACAGAGAAAACAAAAGGCATATATAAGCACAAACATTTTTCCATACACACACACGCAAACAGACATTTACACACATTCACAGACACACACATACATACATTCACATACATACATAAATACATACAAAAGTAGTTGCCCGGATACAGACAGATACTCATAAAAACAAGAACGTAAAAACACACCTACATCTCAAGTAAACCTACATACGTTTCTTTAAAAACACAATCTCTCACACATACACATACAAACAAATACACACACACACACAAACATACACACGCACACAAACACGAACATGCATTAACATACATTATCATTGAGAGGCATAAATATAGAAATAAAAAAGCAACAGCATGTAATATATATGTGGGAAAAAAGTAATAGAAAAAAATACTACTACTACCAGCACTACTACTACTACTACTACTAATAATACTACCAGCAACAACAACAACTACAACAACATCACATCATTAATAACAACAACAACAATATCAACAACAACAGCAACGACAACAACAACATCAACAACAACAACGACAACTACAACAACAACAACAACAGCAACAACAACAACAGCATCAACAACAACAACATAAACATTACATATAATAATGTTATTCTCTCCGATGGAGTTCTGTGCCAGCAGTCTGACGAATGCCATCTTACTGCCATTTCTCACTCGCAAAAGCAGTTCGCTTGATTTCTTATCTGGAGATGTCTGCGGAAAAATGAATGAATAATTGAATGAATGAAATTGTAACTGGATGAATTTGTGAATGGATGAATGGATAGATGAATGAATAAATAAATTGATGAATGAATGAATTGGTGAATGGATGAATGGATGGAAGATTGAATGAATGGATGGATGAATGGATGAATAAAAAAAAGACCAAATGAGTATATATAAATATTATTGTTATTATTATTATCATTATTAAAAAGTAAAAATAAACAAAACGCAAAAATAAAAAAAAACAAAATACAATTCTGTTGAAAATATTTTGAAAAAAAGAGAAAAATGACCATTAGTGACGAATAAACGTCTCCGTGGTAACCGTTCAGTCTCCTGACAAAAATGACGTCATCCAGTTTGAAAAATAGGGATGTGAGTGTTGGATTGGAATATATTAAGCACCTGACTTGTGCCGTGTAGTTGGCGTTGTTGCTGTTGGTGGCGTTTGCGTTTCTGTGGCTGTCGTCGTTTTCTAAGGCAATATTTCTGTCAAGTTTTCCTAAGTTTCTATCACTAGTAAAATCATTGTTGATGTCGTTGTTGTTGATGTTGTTGATGTCGTTGTTGTTGGTTAGGTTTGTCAGGTTGAAACATTGGAACTGCGGCGGGTCTGTGTGTTGTTGGTGTGGAAATTTATTTTTTTTATCTACTAAATTGGGTGCTCTTCGGAGACTGCTGATGCTTTCAATTAAGTCATCCGTCATCATCATCAATCATGTCGTCATCAATCGTCATCATCATCATCATCAATGTCATCATCACGTGATCATCGTTCTTTTATTATTTTCCATCTTTTTCTCTTCCTCCTCATTCTCATCATCATTCCTACAGCCATCATCATTATCATCTTCATCATCATTGCACCCCACTTACATTTAACGTCGATAACAGCTGTAGCCGAGGAAAACCTTCCGTCCACCGAATACACGGTGCAAGTCACGTGGCAGCCGTCGTGCCCTCTTATTGGTTGATAATTTTTGAGCCCCGCCCACGTAGCGTACGTGAATTGGCGTAGCCCTAATTCACCGGTATGGCTGATCAGTGATTGGCTGAAAGTTAAATTTGACAGAACCTCAATTTTCCCGAAAATCATTTTGATTCGCGGTGAGGATGAATGGCCTATTATTAGACAGCCAATGTGCGTAAGGGTAGAAGTGTTTCCGTTGCCGTCCAGTGTGTATTCTAAACGACTATTGGTCAGTTGAATGAGGCGATCTTGTGAAGCATTGGTCAGTCTGGAAACGTTGATGTCACTATTGGTCAGCAGAACGAGAAGAGGCGTGGCTAGATGGTGTCATGTTAATGTTATGATGGTATTGATGTCATGTGGTTAATAATGTTGCGATAATGATGATGGCGATAACGTTCGTTGTAATGATGTGATAAAGGATGATGTTGTAGTGCTGTCAGAACTTCTGTAGAAAATGTATGAACACAAACCGGTCAATTTTAGACGTATTTAACAATATATCAACACTTACTTTCAAAACAAACGATAGAAATTCGGTAGATTTCATAGATTACTGCATATACATATATTATAAATGTAATATTTGTTGTTAACGTTTGCTGATGTCTTTTTATCATTCATACATGCATGCATGCATTTTCGTTCATGCATGTTAAGTTCTTGATGAATGTTGTGTGTATGTATGTATGTTTATATATATATATATATACATATATGTGTATTTACATATGTAAATATATATATATATATATATATATTGTTTGTGTTTTATTTTACTGATTTAATTTGTCATTATCATCATCGTCGTCATCATCACATCATCATCGTCGTCATCATCATCATCACCATCGCATACTTTCCACGATGACATCATGGTCTACAGACATGAGTTGCGCGCCGTGTTTAGCATGTACCAGACATGTGTACGTCCCAGAGTCGTATGTCTGAACATCTGGTCGTATTTAATTTAATTCAAATGTATTTAATTATTATAATTAATTATAACATAATTAATAATCTCCATGGTTATAATTATTGATCATAATATGTAGTATTATTATGGACATCATAAATTTACTTCTTAGAAATTTGGTATAAAGTATCTACAATTTTTAATTGATACCTAAAAGACGCCTGGCTCTGGCGCAGCAGTGGCCGGGTTCGATTGCAAGACAAACCCAACAGTCACAAGCAATGTCCGCGATAAGTCTGTGCAACCTTAACAATCCTAACTAGCATTATGATTTTGATAGAACAAGTTGTAGGTGTCGAGGTGTCTGCAATCAAATTGATGGTTTTAGAAAAGGATCCAGATGATGATAACGTATAAAAATACGCTGAATAAGATGTTGACGATGACGATGATAATCGCGATGACAGTAACAAGTGGAAACATTTCCAGTTATTTAAAATATGAATTTGAAGAGAGTACAGAGATGAAATATTACTTAGTTGCAAGAATTAGAGAGCAAAATAGAAAAAAAAATCTCATGAACAATGACTACAGCGATTATAATTGTTTCAACGCAACCACACGTAGAAACACACAGACTCGCATGTTAAAACACACAGACACGCACGTTCAAGCACACAGACATACACACACACATACAACAAATAAATGTTTCCAGAAACATACACACTAACTTATACACACGTCAGCCATACAATACCTAAAAAAATAATTAAACAAACAGCTCGAAATGCTCATCAATTGCGAGAACTAATACAATTTCAGTAGCAAAAATGAATACACGCTTGCATATACATCAATGGAAGCATACATCTGAATGCAATGAAAAAATACTCACATACATACATACAAACACATACAATCGCTGATACAACAAAAATGCACTCCCCACATACAAAACAATTACATTCACAATTTATACTTAATCAAAATACAAACACTTTTATACACATCGCACGACACAAAAACACACAATCACACACACACACACACACACACACACACACACACACACACACGACGATAAATACATACAACTCCTCACAAACGCCACACGACTAACCATCAATGCACAATTCCAACTTGTGCACCTTCCAACGCTTCAGACGTTTGAGAATACCAAAACTATTTCTATCCCGACTGCTACTCGCCACGTCATTAGCGCGGCCACCCGGGCGACGGTGGTGGTGATCATCGCTACTTCTATCATCACCATTACCACCATCGTCGTTTCGGTCGTCATCATCGTCGTATCCGTCGAACTTTTCGTAATTCACGTGGATTCTTCCAGGTTCTCCGTTAAATGGTTTCTGAACGTTGTTCATGATGTTCATCTTTGATTGTTCACCGTGTTGTTTCTGTTTGCATGTTTGTTTGTTTGTTTGTTCGATTGTTTGTTCGATTGTTTGTATGATTTTTTGTAACTGCTTTTGTTTATTTGTATCCGTTTGTAAATATTACATGTTTGTTTATATTTTATACTGCTAGGTTGGAAGATTTGTTTGGTTCAGTTTGGGCACCTTTATGCGTTTAATTTGTTTTGTATTTATTTGCATATTGTATGTGTGTATATCTTGTATGTGTTTGTATATTTATATGTATGTGATTCGTATGTGTAAATTTTTAAATTTTTACGTGTTTTGTATAAGTTTGTTTATTTTCACATGCATGTGTGTTTTTGCATGTATGAATGTGTGTGCGTAATTGTTTTTGTGTAGAAAATTATATCTTTTAGATTATGTTTGTATGTTTTATGTTTTATGTTTGTATGTTTGTATGATTGTATGTTTGTACTACTGATTGTTTGTTTGTTTTCCGTGTATGATAGTGTATTAGGCTGGATTTAATAGTTTGCCAAGCGTCTTGTGGTCTTCCAGATTAATACCATTACCAATTATACATCTCATAACGTTTCTTATCATGGTCGTCGTCTTCATCATCAGTATCATCATCAACACGTTTGTAATATCATCACCAGCATTTGTTTGACCGATATCATCATCAACATCACTATCAACATTTGTTTGACGCCATCATCACCACCATCATCGTCGTCATCACCATCATCATCATCGTCGTCATCATCATCATCGTCATCATCACCAGCATCACCATCATCGTCATCATCACCAGCATCACCATCATCATCATCGTCATCATCACCAGCATCACCATCATCATCATCATCATCGTCATCATCGTCATCATCATTGTCAAAACCGCCATTTGTATTGGAGTCCGCGATTTGGAAGACATCTTGAAAATTATCACGTGAATTAGGCGCATGACAGAATTCAAAATGATGATGATGATGAATCACCACCACATAACTCCGCCCACACGTCTGCTGCTGCTGCTGATGATGCTGATGAAAGATGATGATGATGATGGTGCTGATGAAAGATGATGATGATGGTGATGACGACAACGACGATGATGATGTAAGATCGACAATATTGATTGAAACACAAATAATAATGATGATTGACTGGGAAGTGAGGATGGTCGGATGGCTAGTGAAGATGATGATGATGACGACGATGATGGAAGAGATGAAGATGATGAAGATCATGATGATGATGACAATGATGAAGAAGAAAAATATGATGATTAGATCTGACCGATGACGATGATGGTGTACGGAAACGCTTTTCAAGGTAAGAACTTGTAAAAGAGGAAAAAAGTGTTGACCGGGCGTAAAAGCATTGAACGCCAGGTGACGGACACCAAAAATTCATCATGGTAGAGAAATGGCTTCCTTTAATGTAATATAAGCCGCCATGCCGTTCTGGTATTTCCCCCCTCCCCCCACACACACACATACATGTATACACATTCATACAAACACACATACATGTATACACATTCACACAAACACACATACATGTATACACATTCATACAAACACACATACATGTATACACTTTCATACAAACACACATACATGTATACTAGGGTGGTCACAAGAAATTTCATCGGGGGAACCCCCCAAATTGTGCTACTTGACTAAAAAATGACATTTGTAAAGTTTTAACTCAATTGGATAATGCTAACCCGTGCTAATGAAATTTATTTGATGTATAACAACTATAAACAATAGAATATGAATAAAAAATGTGTTTATTTGTTAATAATAGTGATTTAGATACAACGGTGTTATTTTAAAAACATTTCTTTATAAACAAATTAATTTGTTTATAAAGTTTATAAAGTATGTAGTTTATAGTTGTTATACATCAAATAAGTTTCTACTTTAACTCGTTGTCCAAAAGGTAGAGGCTCGGAAAATGAGGCTTTTGAGCAACAAGGAAATTTTGTCCGACATTCAGCAATTACTTGCAAAAGATATTGTTTTTGATCTTCCTCTTTTTGATCTACACAATTACTTAATGAATCATCGAATAATAAATAAACAGCCTGCTCTAGATTGAGGTACTATATGTGGTTGATAAATTTTGAAACTGATATATCTGAGATAAATTTATTGACTTTATTGAAATTTACCAAAGATTTTAACAATTGTAAATCTTGGTTTGGAGCAAGTGCAGGTTTCGGGGCATCCAACCACACTTTCACATAAATATTCATAATAAATAGACAAATATCATGGAATCCTTGCTTTTCAAAAATTGTCAGTTGAAACTGTTCTCTGAAAAAGTATATTTTCAACAAATATATTGCTTTTGCCATCCACCTTGCGTGATGAAAAGCACCAGGAGCCGCAAACACGATGTTTTCTGACAGAAAGCGTTCTAAAAATATAAGACAAAGATTAACCAATTCTTTGTAATCGCTCCTTGGATGATGAACTGTTAATTATTATAGAAGATAACTTGAAATTTGACCCGGATTAATCAATTTGCTGGCTACACTTTTATCTTTAACTCCTGATTTAAATTTTTTTATCAATGTTGTTCCATTCAGTTTTAAATTTTTTGAAAATATCCGATTGAGGGTCTGTAGTCTTTCCCATCACAGCATCAAAAACGGATCTCAACACTACCTCCAAAATGTGGTGGCGACATGGAAGATACAATAATTTTTTCTCCATCAGTTGCTCTAATAAAACTCAAGCACCTTTAATGCGTCCAGTATTCACGGCAGTTGTGTAAAAGGACATTGCTTGAATCTTGTCTAGTGCACTCCACTTTCCAAGTTCTGAATAAACAGATTTTGCAATTATACTGCCAGCACCATTCTCTAATTGGGGAACTCCAATTAACTATTCTTCTTCTCCACGGCTAATTAAGAATGCAACTCTTTCAACATTTTTTTTATTTAACATATCTGGAAGTAATTTCCCATCCCAATGTACAACTGCTCCTTACCAAAAATGAGAAATCGTAGAAAAACCAAAAGATCTTAATATTAATACATAAAAACAACATATAGCACCCGGGTTAGTAATAGTAAATAAGTTATTGTGTGTTTTTGTGTTATGGAGAAATTCAACGTTTTTTCAATGTGTATCTGTAACAATGCAAATATGTCAGAAACTATAACTGGTAGCTAAATAGTGATCATAGTAACATTTGAAGAAAACTAATCAATAAACAAAATAAAACTTAAATCATGTTTCTAGAGTGAACCGTTTTTATTTTACAAACCAAAAACTGCGTTTTTTTCAAAATTTTCCAATTTTTCGAAATTTCAACCTCAATGAGGCACGGGTTAGCATTATCCAATTGAGCTAAAACTTTACAAATGTCATTTTTTAGTCAAGTGGCACAATTTAGGGGGTTTCCCCGATAAGATTTCGAAATTTTTTTTTTTACATATAGCGTTGTAACCACCCTAATGTATACACATTCATGCAAACACACATTCCACACACAATCTATACAGGTATTTTCACACATACATACATTGCGCCTCTGAAGAAAGCTCAATAGAGGCGCTTTGCGAATCTGCATTGCAATGAAATACATACTTGTATGTGTTGTACACACTCACACAAACAATCACTCATACGGACACACATACATACATATGTGTTTGTATACAATATGAATGTAACATGATATACACATAATAAATGTATATAACTAAAAAAATAAATATATTTATTTATAATATAATTTTAATTATTAATAACTAAAAAAGTAAATGAATAAATATATACATTTTAAAAGCGTTATTGTTAGAGATACACGAGCACAAAAATAAAACCCCAAAAATATGTATTAGCATATGGCCATAGATCTTGAGTATGATGAACGCATGTAGGAGCGTATAACGTTCACTCGGCGTGCCATATTCTGAAATGGCAATTGACTTTTTATTACAGTTTTTTTCTTTTTTTTTTACCGGATTTTTTTTTGTTTTTGCAGTTTTTCCAACTTGGTGTTCTCCATTTTTCACTTTCTTTGTTTTTAATTTTTCCAAATTTTCGTTTTTCTACCTCTTCTCTTTTATTTAACTCTCACTTCATCCTTTTTCATATCGTAATCTCTCTCTCTCTCTTTCTTTCTTTCTCTTTTTTTCTCTTTCTTTCTCTTTCTCTTTTCCTCTCTTTCTCCACCCTCACATGCTATTTATTATATTCCGTGCAAACGTTCCCAGCCTGCGAAACAATTGCGTGAACGAACGTACGTACGTAAATACGATCTCTTGTCTGTCTATGGAAGAGTATTGTTTGCGTACGGTCTTATACAATTATTATTATTTTTTAAATTTTTATTCTGATTATTATTATTATTATTTAAATTTTTATTCTGATTATTATTATTATTATTTAAATTTTTATTCTGATTATTATTATTATTTTTATTATTATTATTATTTTTGTTAGCGGTATGACAGCAAGATGGTGCAACGACTTGTTGTTTGCAGCGACCGTATTCACATGAGTTGTGTATGCGTATGTGTGTGTCTGTGTGTGTGTGTGTGTGTGTGTGTGTGTGGCACAGCTGAAAACTAATGTACGAATGTATATACATTTGTATACAATCATGATTTAAAATGCACACCTATGAGTGATTTCATAGTCAATCAGACAAATTATTCTTGATCTATTCACAACGTCAGTTTCCATTAGAAGTTTCTTGTAAAATTTTCATTTTCCAAAAAAAAACTTAATCATTTGACATTTCGAATCAAAATTGAAATTTTTTGAATCTATAATTATATGTGTGTGTGTATAGTATATATATATATATATATATATATATATATATATATGTATATATATATGTATATATATGTGTGTGTATGTGTGTATGTATGTATGTGTGTGTGTGTGTGTGAATCGCTGCAAAAGTATTAAGCAATAATTGACAAAAATTGATGACAAAATGAAATTATTATATAAAACAAGCTGGATGGCAGAGCTGAC